TCAATCCTTCGTAGGTCAATTGACAGACCAACGGTGTGATCAGATCGATGGAGCGGTCAAGCATAATCACAGAATTGATGGGCGAAAAGCGGGTAGCGAAATTGGCAAGCTTTTCTTTCGATAAGACGTTCTTCATCATTCGATAGACCTTCTGAAAGGAGTCACATATGAACATAATCTGGCATGATATTTTCGTATTTACACACGAATGTTCTCCCTTGCAGTAGAAATGCCGGATTTGTCCGAAGCCCTTCTGTAATTGCACCATGGCCATCGCTACGGTGAACAATAGTGAGTCGTCCTCTTCCACCAGAACTCTCTGAAGCAAATACATATTACTTCAAAACTGTAACAATATAACAATATATGCTTCGAACAGCCGCTGTAGCGGATGATTGGAGAAAGGGACAGCAAGAAATGAGCGGCTTTGCTTATGCGAAACGCTGTTAGAAACACGACACGAAATTACCGATACATATATTGCACGCGCATCGAAGGACTATTCAATCGTATGGTTTACCCAAGGACATCGGCACAGGAACAAGACAGGCTGCAGATCCAAAAGATGCTTGACTGAGGACATAAGCAAATGAATAAAAAGTAACATGGTTCTAATATTTAGATTGTTAGAATCCGGAATATTCAGAGTAAAGACATTGTTCGATCTGGTGTACTCTCTGTCACTACTCGTCTGAATAGCTGATGACGCTTGATGATCCTCAGAGCCCTTGGCTTACACATCCGGTTTAATGAAACTCAGAGTCACTGCAGGCACAGAATGTCTAAAAAGCAAGATGTTTAAAGTTGGGAAATACATGAAAAAAGAATATATCGTAAGACAGAGCACAGCATTCAGTTAAAACCCACACAGTAATGATTTCAAAATGCCTAAATACCAAAATACCCGTGCGATAATGCACAAGAAAATCCTATAACCTAAATCGAAAATACTTTAAATACTGCAAGCTATGAATAGCAGAAACGTTCCTCCGCACATAAACCAGGCTTCACGGCGTATTACACAGCCCCATCAGTGGATGCCGTCTAAGCAGACCACAGTTCAATGGCATATTGTTATACACCAGAGTATACTTGAGCATAATTTTGCACTCTGCATATCGATTCTAATTATAATTAAGCGTCATTCTTCTACTGTACATTGCATAGACTAGACGTTATATTTAACCAGATTTATGGTACAACCCTCCAAAATCAGAATTCATAACTGCAGTACCCTCTGCATTTTCCTAGGTGCCTAGAAGCACCATATGAGTAGCCATTCGACACCTTCTGTACTACATAAATATTACACGTTTTTTCCGAATTGGGCAGTATCATTCTGTTAGTAATGTTTTTTGAGCCGGTTGTCATATTATGCTTTCGTGAAGAAAAAAAAGTGGTATGGGTTTATACAAGAACTACAAATAGCTTAGAACAAAATATAGTCAAATATATAGACTACATAGATAGCTATGAGCAAAGGAGATGAGTGGAGTCATAATTACATGCAAACCGTCAATTGGCGATTCCCTCACTTCTTAGCCGTTTTTTGTCACATCTGAAGGACAAAACTACAGTGGTTTGGATATGCGATCAGAATGCGGCAAAAGCACTTTAAAATCAAGGCAATTAGCAGACGACCAATGGGAAGACAGAGGGCGAGGTGGTCCGAAAGCATCGAACTTCTGGCCTCGTTGAGCATTAGAAGTAATTTCCCTCATCTTCTTCGACTGACGAAAACCGAGAGTACTGGTAAAGGTTCTGAGGCCGTTACCATCCCCCCCTTTGACCGGCAAGGAACAGCGTTCTGTACAAATGCATAGATGGCAGAAAAACAGTGGATTCTCACTTCCAGCAAATCTTCACGCTCCATTGACATTACATCTTTGTCCCAGAGAAAGAAGAATACAGGCAACTCATGGATGGACGTTACGACTGATAACGCGTCGAGTTGTTTCAGCTTGTGTTCGCACACTACGGAACGCTGAGGAACAAACAGCAGGTGGAACTTGACGATGCTTCCGATCGCCGCGTCCAGAACCGCATCGGCCACTACCTGCATGTTGGCGACGACGGGACGAAGGACGAAAACCACGTGCGCAGCGCCAGATGCGACGCTAATCCTCGTCTTCAGCTGTAACATCTGTACAACCTTTCGGTCCTGAAATATCACAGTATAATGAACCTTTAAATAAACAACACCTGTGGTTCAGTCTGGCTCTCAACTCACCGGAATTTGACCGGATTTTCCAGTCTCTGTCTCACCCTATAGTGTTTGTAGTTAAACAAATAGTTTCAAATAAAGAGGCAATTCACTTAACAGGTTTAATTTAATCATTGGCATGCTTCATGAGGGTTTTCATTAACTGGATGAACGTATTATTGGAATCGTGCCAGATTATTCCTTTTACCGTTTGGTTGGTATCACCAGAAAAGCAAGTCTGCTTTTGAAACACCGCTCATATCATCTAATCATCGGCTGTTGAGCAACAAGGTTGAGACAAAGGCAAAGACAGCATTCACAATCACCCGATATGACGCACCTGATACGACACAGCAAGTTCTGACAGACAGGCAAAAATAAGTAATTCTGCAAACCAGAAACTGGTTGCACCGTCATGAGGAAATCGCTTTGCATTCGAAGGTCTGTCTGACATAGTGCTGACTATTCCTATGCACTTAAGAATGGCTATCAAGAAATGCGGTATTCGGAAAGTTCACCGACTGGAAAATTCACCGACAGGAAAATTTACCGAGAAGCAATTCGTCGAACGGAAAATTCACTGATTTTACAATCGATCGCCGATAATCTATTTATGATCATAAAACAGTATTATTTAGAAATAACATATTTGAAAGATTATGTTAATGAGCAGAATAATTACCATACTATTATCTACTCACAGAAAAATAAATTTTATCTAATGCATTTATTTAGAAATGGCATATTTGAAAGATTAATTAGTGAGCACAATAATTACCATGCTTCATCCTTGTATTGGGATTGCGGGTAGGGGGTATTGCAACAAGTAAAACAGGTTCAACCTTATACCTTCCCTGAAACAGTTGTGGCCGAATTCGAACCTGCCGCACTCAGTGCTATTGGTCAAGAATTTCCAAGAGCTAGACATCGAGAATATTTCTTGCGTTTCTCGCAGTGTATATTCCAAAGGATTCAGGCAGAGCATCTTCAAAGAAGGTATACAAAACTGACGTCGAATTTGTAATGAAAATGTGATTGTTGTCTGCGTTGGTCTTTTCCAAACAGATGTGGTAGAAGCTTTAGCTTCTTAGCGGTAGCAATGATAACATGTCAGAAGAAGCACAAGGCATGATTGATTACCTTGAGAACTGATGAACTGGACGTCCTCAACGACGCATGGATTCCAAATGCCCCGCTTTTGCCTGGAAATGTGGAACAGTCATGAAGGAGTAAGACACCTTCTGAACACAAATGATTCGCTTGAAAGATGGCATCGTCCATTTGAAATGCAATTATCTGCACAATACCCTAATATCAGGAGGTTTAATGAAACGATTCAGCGTGAGCAAAGCATCAGAACATTGCAAATTGAACAATATGTCAGTGGCCATTAAAGTAGCCCTGCGCGTAAGAAATATAGGGATTGCGCTGAGACTTTTCAGAGTAGTTGCAAATTATGACAGAAATGTTTCAGAGATTTTGAGAAGGTGTGGCACATAATACAAATTACTAATTAGGTACTGCGTATACTGTTTCAGAAGTTTTTTTCAATTCAATTATTCCAATGAAATCTGTTTTATTCCAAATTTAGAGGTACATATACCATTATCATTTTCAGGCAAATTAATTCAAAATTAGCAGATTTCAATTTTATAGAGATATTGACAATACTTTATGGTATGAAATAAATTAAGTTTTTAATAAATGAATCATCGGCGATCAATTGTACAGTCGGTGAATTTTCCGTCCGACGAACTTCTGGTCAGTGAATTTTCCGTCGGTGAATTGCAGTCGGTGAACTTTCCTAGATCCAAGAAATGCAACAGCCTTCACTGCAAGAACTTGCTGAATCGTACTGAAGCAGCTGAACGAACCCTGAGAAGCATTTCGCCAATTCTGTTGATAAAAGTCATCATTAGTTTCAGTGCACATGGACTGCGGCAACAAGATTTGTAAAAACAAAATCGTCACATATGGCATAGGGTCAATAAAACTATAGTGAATAGTCTGTTCTTCAAAACAGCGGCGAGGTTGAGGAGAGGAATTGCCTAATTCGCAACTTCACGGATTGTAAACAATCGAGGCAGCACAAAGTTCTGGTATGTTCATGCCAACGGTTACAGTGTGGCTGCACAGTTGTCTAAGAGGTCTGCTTCTAACGCCGGAGATGCTGGGCTGAATTTCTGCTCATGGGAAATCTTTGTTTTATTCACGAATTCATTTGAGCAAGACATTCACCACACACATTGCCATCGACCATGCTTACTCGGTCAGTAGAGCGTCGTACTAAGAATCGATAGCTCCAAATCAAGCCTCAATCAGGGTCATTACCCCTTCTTCCTTCCGTGAATGATAAATGTGTATCACTCTGTAGGCAGGAAACAGGAGACTACACGCTACGCTTACCATATGTCTGTAGACTGTTTTTAAAAAAAATATGGCACTACTGGCTGATGGCACAGAATCGGAAATCAGCACCGGACAATATACTTCATAAAAAGAAAGGCACCAAAATGGCCCAATCATGAACTTAAAGGAAGACCTACATTCCAATGGTGATAAACTTTCAATTCCTTATAAAGACTCGCAGCTATGCCATTAATCTGATGCGCAAGGCTAGCGGCTACCATCGACTAACCTGAAAGGCCTACCTAAACAGCATAAGGCACAGGCCGCAACACAACGAATCACCCATCCATCTTAAAAATTACCATTACTTGTGGATCACGCATGCAGCAACTTCAGGTATTTTTCACTAAGCGCATAAATTACGTGGGATGGTTTCCAAAGTAGAGCAATACCAAGTGCTCCATATACTTGATAGCGGACTACCAAGTCTACCAACAGCAGAAAGTAAGGTTAAGCAAATCTTATCTATTAGCTATCAAACTAAATCGCAGCAGATCCATGCATTTTCTCTTGTGTCACTAATCTGCTTAATTCTCTCATTGCATTGGCAACTTTATACTGATCCTTACACTTGTATTATTAAATGGGTACTCTACTCTTCACTGTGACCTTAACGTAATCGCTGGTGTCGTTCTCAAGCACAAGTCCATAACGAGGGTATTTAGAGCACGTTGCTCCACTGAGCCTACTGTACGTCACTGACCTTCGCTCTGATATCATTACCCAGGACTACCTAACTGTTGAACGTCATATCTAGACAGCTATGTAACAACTGCAGCATGCATTCTTCTGCTTCCTTCCCACGGTTCTACTTATTCCTCTAGCCTGGAAGGATGAAAGGCTAGTTATCAGGTAAAAATGCAAATTCACGATCATTCAACCACGAGTTTGGCGCGCTCTACTGACTGAGCTATCCTGACCTTTATCAACTCGGGAGACACTGGGCGTAAACCCTGGCTAAGAGCACCTGACGTTAATATGCTTGCAGAATCTCTGCAAAATATATCGTCGGGTTCCTTCAAAAGATATGAGTTTTTGTTTGTTGAAGTAATCACTTTTAGCCGTTTGCTTAAGCAAAAAGTTTCTGGGCCGTCAAAGCCGACTGTTCAGAGTTCGGCTTTTTAACCTCTAGCTATAAAACATCGTTTAGCGAGTAGCAGGAGGAACTGTAGTCTCTATACGAAGATCCATTTTCATAGTTTATGATCGATCAACGGATCTACCTACGTCCTAAGGAGCAATTATGAACGAAACACTACTTGCAGCAAAATAAAAACTAAGTGACATAAAGTAAAGAAGACCGACAAGAAAATTTTACCAGTTGTTTCAGAAAGAGAGTCAAAAAAAATTTACTTGCAGTTCCTTGAATCCGGTTAACAGGTTGAACGGCTGTATCAAATCAGGATCCCATACCAGAACCTAACAAATACTTTTTTGCAAAACATTTTTTCCATATATTACCTGCTGGGCTAATATTTCAGCAATTGGTTTTACATCAAGCATACTGATACATTTTAACAAATGGACTCACTCCGGGGACTTGCTTCCATTCATAGAATATGCAAATTTTTTATCAGTGGTACTGTTCATGCAGTTAGTTCATGAAACAATGTTAGTTTCATACAAAAAACATTAGCAAAATAAGACACACATCCAATATATCACATAATTAAATAACGATAATTACACAGCAGTAACAAACATCATAATAAGAATACTTTAAAAACAAAACGATCGATCTATTTTCACCGATCGCTATCGCTACCAAGATATGAAAGCAACAGCCTAAAGAGCTTGGTC